GCATGGACAAGTGGAGAGAGCTCAGGTGGAGAGGTATTTGGGAAAAACAAAGTGTTTCTTAATAAGCTTTACAAATGGACTTGTGTGTCGCAGTTGTGTTACTATTTCTAACAGTGTTCAATGCTTAATTTGCATGGTGGAAGAAAATCAGGCATCCTGGTGCAGCTGACGATAGTAAAGCTCTCGCACTAAACCAACAGACTTATCTATATACTGAAGATATGAATACAGATGGATCTGGATAATGCAAGTTTTGTGTGTTGTGTGTATTAAACGTTTCTTACGTTAGGGCACGGCCCAGCCTCGTGACAGTCACTTTTTAACTTTTAACCAACACCAGGATGAGCTACCGCTGATAACAGGAATACTGTCATCTAGGCGACATTATCTGTGATAGTAACTGCGTCGTATGCGAGCGCTACACGGACTTTTACACGCATCTCGATCAGTTTGATCGAGATACACTGAGCACATGGAGCACTTCCATGGCTTGGACGGCCATGAAAAAGGTGAATAACCGCATTATAAAATATCTGGTTCTTTCGTCTTCAATAAAAAGTCAAATGTACAAGTCCGTGTACATAAAAAGTGTGATGAGAAGTTAACTACAACTCCCAGTGTGTTTATCGGTGACAAACATCCCATCACAGAGCTTAAAATTCTGTGATGTGCGCTGATATCAACGGGTGTGAGCTCCAGATTAAGTTGCTGGGAAAATCTTCTGACTTTGGTCAAAGTTTCACTTATAACTTTATTTAGACATGAGAACTGTCAACCATGATATTCTTGATGTGAGAATTTTGACATAATGTGATTTCGTGAGGCGATGATAAATTAAAATACTGATTTATTGTCCAGTCCCACCCACATTTCAGACATTAAAGAAGTCTTTGTCAAAACATGGCGTGTGAAGCCATAGCAGTTCAAGATGTGGTCTCTAGATGCTGTTCTTTTTATGTTTTTGAGTACATATTTTTCTTCACATTTACTGACAGGATAAGCTCTCGTAGCTCAATCAACAGGGGGCGAGAAGACAGTGAAAAAACAATATTCCCTTTAGTTAAAAAAAAAAAAAAGTTTCTCACTCTGGCATGCATGTGCTTGCACAACTTCCTGAACAGTCATCCACCAGCATAATTGTGCCCCCAACACCTTCCTTCTGAAAATCTAGTTAAAAATTACAGAAGCACACTAAATTGATGGCAACATAGATCATTTTCTACTCTCCTTTTAGTCAATATTAAGAAATGACATTGCCTACATGCAGACTGTCCTTGCAAACAAAATGTGTGTGTCTATTGACTGAGCCTAATGCGACACAGACAGATGTTCATTAAAAGCAATGAACATATAAAGAAAGAAGGAACCTGAATCATTAGCTACAATGGGTTCAGACACAGTAGGAATAGAAACTGATAAGCTGTATGACACTGAACAGTTTACACCCTTAAAGATATGTGGCTTTGTCCCACTAATTTAAATACACACAAGGACAGAGCCAAGGCACAACAGACACATGTTCACACAACGATAAACAGAGCCACCCTAAATCCAAAATGAATCCAAATAAATAACTATAGCCTTGAACTAGCCAGTACTTGTATGGGCGTTATTTCAGAGTAACCACTAGTCTGCCAGTTGGCAGATAGCCCATGAACGCTGCATGTCTCTTTTGGAGGGAGAGAATGGTTCACCTCCCCCCATGGCCTATCATAAATAAATACTGCTACAGAAATATTTGGACAGCCCGATACAAAGCTTTGCAGCACCACAAGGCTGACATGGGCTTTCTCAGGGACTTCCTTGCCCTACTTATGAGCAGGGGATACATTTCTGTTTTGAACACACAGTCTAAACCCAATGTACCTTAGATTTGCTGTTGTCTCTTCTGTGCCACAGTTCACTGAATCCACAACAGTCACATTCGAATGACTTATCAAAAATCAATCTAGAGCAAATTGAGGAGTGACTAGAAGCCACCAGATGAATGAATTATGATTATTACATATTACAGGCCATCCAGTTTTTTTCCAGACCTGAGTCCATTTACAGCACTGAAATCGCAGAGAACATGTTTCTTCTCAAATCCTGTCACTGAACAAGAGGCAGGTAGACAATGACCTGTGGGCCAACAACATTATTCGTTTATGCCCTCTGAGGACTCAGTAAATCTATGTCCATCTACTGAATCCCCAAATTTTGGCTTCTCGCAATAAAAAACAATAACATATTTAAAAATCAATAATTGGAAACTGTTATGTTATCTGAAACATGTAAGTAAGACATAATAAAACTCCTATAGTTCTTTTAACAGGCAGCACTAAACCTGTTTTTGTAACGACTGCAATTAGTCTTCACTGCCAGCCCTCACCTCTGTTGACAAAATGAGTAAACCTGCTGGTAAGGAAAGGCAATAGGGCTGAAACCAATGTCACAATGTTAACAGGTATATGTTTGCAAATACGAGCAAATCACATAAAATGTATATTTATATTCATATAGCAATATGTATGTATAATCCACATGTTCCATTATATCAAGCAAAACTACTCAACTACGCAAAACAAAAACGTCAGTTAGCTATGTTTCATCTACAGTTAATCTACCGAATTCAAACTAATCTCAACCCCAAAGTCCACTTACTAAATTGTCAAGATTTAACCGACTGCTAAACTGATAAATACATGGTGTGAAAGCCTTCCCTGTACTCCAGGGGGCTCTTATCAGTTGAACACCGTGTGGTCTCTAGGGCTGAACCGAATGCCGCAAAGCTTCAACTGTTGCCATGGTAATCTGCGTCCAAATCAGCATTTGAATGCTGCATTTTTTGTTATTGTTATAATAATTATTTTTATAATAATTATTATCATTATTAGTAGTAGTATTATGTACACTGCCACAACAGTCCCGGGAAGTAAGAAACGATAATCCAACATTATTCTTGATACATCAACATCAATTATTATTAGCTATTGTCAGACAAGGACATTTAACCTTAGTGATAGTTTTGTGTGTCATAGCTCTCATCTCACGTTACCAGCACTGACACTGGGACCCTGACACATGACCATGTGACAGGCTTCCAAGGTACAACAATGCCAGCAAGATGTTGAAAAAGTCCAGCATCTGAAATAACTGTAATTCTCACTGAAGCTTTGCAGCCCTGAACATGGTATTGGGGGCAGCCCTTGTGTTCTCAGTAAACTAGTTCATCTCTTCATTAACGCAAAATGGAGTAAACTAGCAAGCTATAATGAACAAATAATCATGACACCAAAATGTCTGAAAAGAAATGTGTGGAAGCATTTTAAATTCCATGCCACATATGTAAAAATAGTGAATAAAAATAAGATCATTTCTTGACTTTGTGATATGGAAGTCATTTACAGTAACATTACCATGACAATAACCTGAAACCCTCTGTTAAACGAAACGAAACGAAACGAAACTAAACAAAGCAACGTCAATTTGACAACGTAATTCAGGATGGAGCTATGTTGGTTATGTTCAAATTTTGTATAACAATTTACGCGCTTATTATTATTTGTTTGAGCTTGATTTTTTTTTTTTGAAAAACAGATGGCTCTATTACATAATCGTATCGTCTCAACATTTCCAGGGAAAGACACCCATTCATGATGGTATATTCTTTCATTATGTAAATCCAATAAATACAACTGCTGTCTGGTGTCTCTGTGGTGATGGCATTAGTGAAGAGTAGTAGGAGTCATCCAGCTTATGTCCAATAGCTTACTATTTAAAAAAAAAAAAAAACAGACACAAAGGTGGCAGCAGTAGCCAACATGTCAAATCTAGTACTGCCAGTATCTTCTCCCCAGTGTTTACTCTCCAATGCAGCTTCTTTGTTAAAATGCCTCCATGTGATTTCAGTAGCTAAACAAGACTGACTGATGTTGTGAACAAACAACATACAACAACAGACACTAGGTCAACAAGAAAATGGGGACATCACTTTAGCGCTCATTATTCGGGCCACTGATGTAGTATCAGATTTAAAAAAAGCATTCAAACAGCAGTGTGTTTTGAATGTTATTTTCATCTGAATCCTTCTCATGTCTTGCTTTAACAGAGATAATGAACACTTTGATGCTCAGAGGCCAGGCGAGACATCTTAACTGTGTTTGTACATGCTGCATCCCATTATTCCATGACCTACAGAGAACAGCCAGGGCTACTAGACAGAAAATAAGAAGAATTTGTAGGTCACACAACATTTCTTAATCTTTTCGTAAAAAAGTAAACTGTTTTAGTGTTATGTGGACATGCAGAATCACAATGTCCTTAAGCTTCATATTTTGCAGGTTACTTTTGATATATAGATGCCTCTCTTGTGCTTTAAGACAGTTACAGCTGCCACAGTCAGGAAACAGCTTAACATTGTAGTTATACAGTAACATGAACTGTCCCTTAACTACTGGTGGCAATGTCTAGTACAGCTGAATGTCTTTCCCCTCCCCCACTCATGCGCTTTAAGTCTGCAAGGGAATATAAATATGTATCATTCATATTTCAGCTTCAACAAAATGACTGAAACTGCACTGGTGCAACTTGATATGGTGGATGTTTTCTATTGTGCTATAAAAGGCAGAGTGGATATCCTAATTATTCGCCAAACTGGGACAACGATCAACCTGTAAAACTTATTGTATTTGGTGAAGTAGTCCACAGCTCAGCTACCAAGGTATATTGTTAGTGTGAGAGAAAATATAACACACAGCATGAGAAAAGTAGGTTGTTTTAATAACTAACAACGAAAGAGAGAAAATTAAAAGACACAGGCTGGAATTTCAACACACGTGTGAGTCAATGGGTGACTAAGCTATGCCGGCAACCTCCTAATCAACGCCATAATCACCAATTTCTGAAAGTCATTATCCTCATCGCATAAAAACCCACACACAAACACAGAAGCTGCCTGAATGCAGTGCAGCCAAAAACACGCCACTCGACTTTTTTTTTTTTTTTTTTTACTGGCTTACCTTTTATTGTGAGAGTGAACTCGTGGTGTCCGCCGCCACCTCTTCCTCTTCCACAAGGAGAACCTCCAACTTCAGTGAGCTAGCAACGACTTTCCTCCCATTTTGCTTATCGTCATATTTCAAGTTCCGATCGCTGCTGTGTGACTCACTGTCGGCTTATTCGGTGTGCTAACGAAGCGTATTCGCCCAGACAAACTGACAACTGGCGGTAAAGTTGGGGGGGGGGGAAACAACCCGAGTTTCTGTGGCTGAGGCTGCAGGCTACTCAGTGGAGTTTCACCGTTCACTGAGAACAGGAACGTAAAGAGACAGCAGCAGCAGGCGCTGATCGGCAGCGGGAGAGAGACGTAGACAGAGAATAGGGGGGGGGGGGGTGAAGGCTGACCTTAAACCTGAATATTGAAAACATAAAAACACAACAAAGTGCTTAAGTTTATCAATTAACTCACTAACAATTCTATATCTTGTATAACTCACTGTCCCAATTGGCTAGATTATGTGCTAAAATGTCAGCTTGTAAACACCTAGCTATCTTTACAAGGGGAGTACATCTTACATAAAGAGATAAACGTATGCTGTCGTCCAAAGACTGTTTCAACGGCTGTGTACCGGTACCAATAAGCTACTGTATGTTAATGTATCCTATCTAAAATGGAGCTAAGCTTGGCTCAGATTTCACCCACAAGAGTGTGCTAATTTAACTTATACCGTTAAATTGGCACACTCCCGAATGAAAAATGTCCTAATGTGTATTATTACTTTAATATTTTTGCTGTAGTGTAAGCAATGAGCTGAGTCTCACAAGCTACAGTCTTGCATGTTGTCTATCTGGCCCCTGAGCTTCTCTTCCCCTCCCCCACACTCCACTATTTTTCGCCTGCCCGGTCACACAGCGGTTGATTAATTCTCCTTTCGCCTTGCTCAGTCATTCAGATTTGGAAAGTAAATAACAAGTTGACATCATTACGGCTCTACACTGGTGTGACACATTCCTTTGGTTACCGTACCTACGGTAATATTTGCGCACGACATATTACTTGCTAAAGTAATACTGGGGGGTCATTGTTGTTTTGTGATGGAGTTAATATTCTTCAATTCAAATTGTTATTGTTATTCACTGATCCCAGGATTTTTACTTTTATTTATTATTCATTCATACATTCTTTTTTGTGTGTGTACACAACTGTTTCTGCATTAAAAACAAAACATGCGTGCAGCCGGACAACTAGTAATTTTTAATTAAATTTTAATTTTGTGCGTGTTTGTGTGTGTGTGTGTGTTTTTTTTTTAATTATTATTATCTGTAGGCTATTTTGGGAAATAAAATTTAAAATTGTTGTCTTTAAAAAGGGGTGGAGGTTGTATCAGTGGGACTTAAGTGTTCCTAAAATCTTGGTTACCCTGATAGTCACAATGTATCATTTGTAAATGAAAAACTGAAACAATAAAACGTATGTGAAAAAAGAAACCAATAAATATGAGACTGAAACAATATCATTATCTCACCATTGTACCAAAGGGGATGAGCCACCTTTGAGGATGTGATGAGGTCTTTGAGGCCAAAAATGAGTAGCACAACAAGGCAAGCCAGATATACCTGGAGTATTACAGGGATTTATTGCTTTGAGGGAGTACAAAGTCAACAGCTGATAAACTCTCCCTTTTACTTGTATCTGTGGCCACAGTTATTACATAACTATTCTTCTGGCTGTTATGTCTCTATAGGTCACACTTATAGCCTATAACTACAGTATGGTGATAACAAGCAGGAGATAACTGCAGTGGTATGCCTTCATATACCGAGGTAGGACTGAAGGAGTTGTCAGAATATCCTGGGTTTTGTGTATTGGGTGGGAAGAGCCAACCATTCCTGGTCCATTTGTTTTTATTGCCACATCCAAAAAGCCACTGGCTAAGTTGACCACTAAACAGAAGATAGCCAATGGCACATACTACACATACTCATACATGTTTAGTGCCTTAATCTTCTCAATGGGAAAGGATGACTGTGGCCGCTCTTGTACAGGATATCTACAGTAGGCCTATGTCATTATTTTAGTCCAGCTTGTTGGTGAGAAAAACAATTTGATTATTAACTTGTGTTTGAAAGTCCACCACAATCTCTTCTGTATCATGCCAAAAGCAGTTCTGGCACCTACACTGCTGTGCAAAATAAGATATGGTATCCATGAAGACAACATCAGCTATGCCTTTGAAGACTGACGACGTTAAGAGTTCACAGAAGAGTTATTTGTGTACCACAACATAAATGGTATTGCCAATATTATTTCTTAATTTATCCCATGAAAAGACCAAAACCAACAATTTGTCTGTACAAGCTTAGCAGTCCTTTCTGTGGTCCTCACCCCAAGCAACTTAAAAAAGTTAAGTATTTTCCTAAAACATCTGGGCACTGAATTTTTACCAAACATTTTTCAAAGAGAGGGGTAAATAATGTATTTATTTGGGGCTATTTTCAGCAACAGACTAATACACATTAGGCGCTCTAGTGGGTATTTATGGCACCAGGTGTATGTGGGATTGACTCAAAGTTAACTACAGAGTCCATGTTCAAAGTAATGTAGGAACATGTCATCTACAGCAGCGATGAAACAATATATGTAGGAATGCTAGTTTTTTTTTTTTTTTTTTTACTTTCTTAATGAGAGACAATGGAATAAGATAAACACACAGTTCACATGAGCATGCAGATGTCTGTCAGGGTCTGATGTGCAGATGTGCAGATGTTGTAGGACCATGTGGAGAGAGTTCTGTCCAAGCTGGTCTCCAGAGCAATCCATACTTGATGAGAGCAGATATACAAGAGAGCGGATATATGAGCTAAGCTTTCCAGCCTGCCAAATCACTGTTTCAGAGTCCCTTCTTCACAGTAAATTGTTATACAGATTTCAGTAAGGAAGTGAGACATCTCATTTCCAGAAAATGACAAGTTAAAAATTTGCTCAGTTCATACATCTGGCTCTATATGACCCATCTGCATTTCCAAGCATGCTGCATTTTCCTCAATGAATCCTTTGCCTGTCGCCTTTTTTGCAGGTGCTGTGATGGGGTACAATATAGGAGTTGCAGTTTCACAGTGGTTGAACTGCAAGATGATGATGCACATGAGGCCCACAGACGAGGCTCATACTGGATGTTGAATAATAATGGAGTTTAGAGGTCAATTTGTAAGCACTAGTTTAAAAATCAACATGTTTTATTGTCTGTCAAACATGGTGAATCTGTATAAGCAGAAGGGAACAATGATTACACCCTCACAAATATTTAAAGAACAACAAGAATAATTATGTTGATTAATGATTTGAATTAATTAATGATTGTATGGTGTTTCCATTAATCTGTCCATACTCTGTAAATGGGATTTGTTCTTTGATTAGAAATTAGACAAAATTATTTGGATGGGCGTAAATGGCCTTCCAGTACTCTGTTGTGACTTAATCTCTCATTGTTTCAGTCAGTAGTCCAGGTTTGTAACCATATAGAATCCCAGCACTGGCACATTGCAAACTGCCTGAACTTACAGTCTGGTGCAGCCAGAAGAACAACATGGTCTGCAAATAGTAGAGATGCAATGAAATTCTGGGTAACTGCTCAACATTTTTATTTCTGATTTATTTGAATAACCAAATATTTAATGTTTTTGGACCTATCCTGCAGTGAACACTTGGATCTGACGCTGCCTCTCTCTACAGAAACAGAAGCGCTACTGTCATGTGTATATTAACTGTTCCCAGCCAGTGCTAATTAAGACGAAAAATGGGTTCAATTTTTTCTTTCTTTTACATCACCCTCTTGCCATTTTAAAATCACTGCAGCTGCTGTTGTCAAGTGAGCTTTAGTACTGCACTATGTAAGCTTTGATTGCATGCTCTCTACTGCATGAATGCTCAAACACTCATTTGCCTCTAATACCGCCACACTGCCTCCTGCACCCTCTGCGCTTCTATTACATGGTGTATGGTAGGAGCGCTTCCTGCCATAGAGCTGGGGCTGACCTCCTAACAAAGAACAGGTTCAATCTGCCTCCCCTCCCCCAACCCAGGAAGCTGATGAGGGTCACATGACCTTTCTAGACAGCACTGAGGAGCAATGGTAATATGTACGGGTGGGGGAAGGGTGCTGTGAGTCACACGACTCTTGTTGTGTCGTTATTAGGCCAGGAAGCGCGGGGAAAGCTCAGTCTGTAGCAGGGGAATGTCCAATGGGGTATCTATTCCTCATTGTGCTCTGGTGTCCATTGACATATTGGATTTAGTAAGCCCTGCTGCTTTATTTACACTGTAAAGAGAATAGGAGCATGGGGGCTGGGGCATCAGACCCAGTCTGGAAGAAAAGGCTTGTATGTGTGTGTGAGTGTTTGTGTGTGTGTGTGTGTGCACATACAAGCACGTGGCATTAGAGAGAAAAAGCAAGCCTTGTGTACTCACTGTACAACACCTCCCCCACTATCTTCCTCTCCTCCCCTTCTCCAACCATCTACACCAGCTAGAGGTGCAGAAGGATTTCTGTGGTAACTGTTATGTCATAGCCCACAGACCTATTTTCTAGACAAAGCAAAGCAGAAAACATGAAAAAATGTATCTATTTTCAGGTGCAAAATCTTTGGTTTCACATAAGCAAAGAAAAGTAGACACAGCAGTTAACAACGTGGAGCTGCAATGAACTATTCAATATGTGAGCTGCTACAAACATGCTGTTTATATATCACACTTGCTCGCTGAATTATGATAATTTTCTCAAGAGTGTCTGAGTGTTTAAAAAACATGTGTGTTACTTTAGGAAGCCACATTCCTCCCTCCACCATAATCAAATTCCTTTGACAGAACAGGGGGAGGGAGAGAAGGCGGGAAAAGCAGACAGATGTCAGAGATTCAAGGGTCGAGGACAGAGGTCAAGGGTTGGTGACCTGGGCATCCAACAGACTTGCCTTGCCTTTCCTCCCCCTCCAGCACAATGGCAGTCAATGACTTTACAATGCTTTCTTCTCACAGTAACATTTAAATCTTTAGTTACGCAGTTTTTAATTTCCTTCATAAGCTGTAGATTGCTCAGAAGCAGTTATTTTGTTTCACTGTGTTGTTTGCCTTGAGTAGATGAAGAAAATCCAACTAATGCTTCAAATTAGTTATCCTAAATAAGTATTTTTTATAGAAAATTAGTTTTAGGTATATTTGCTTTCTTACCGAGAGTCAGATGAGATACCGCTCTGTATGGTACAATGAATATATAGCCTTAGCCAGCAGCATGTTAGC